AATCCATAAACACAATTAAGAGAAAAGAGTCTTTAAAAATTAATGGTAAAACAGGACACTCCAACATCCCCTAAAGGCCCGTCTACAATACACGGAGTAAGAAGAAAGAGTAAGAAATTGACCAATCACAGTCGATTATTCTTCTCACATTCGACTGTGATTAGTCAATTTCTTACTCTTACTTCTTACTCCATGTATTGTAGACGGGCCATTAAGGAGTGCCACGACGGCAATTTTGAATATTTTGACTTGAAAATTTTTTTACAAATATTTGAATATATAATAAAGATGACGGTTTAATTTGATTTAATGTACGAGTCATATTTTGTTAGAAAAAAAATCCGGAAAATCGGCCTGTTTTTTCCCTTGTCACAGTAGACTCCCCCTTAAAAAAACATTTTTTTGGAAATTAATATTATATTTGTGGATTTAGCACCAAATCCATGTATCGACACTACGATTTTATCGACAGTGTCGATAATGCGATACGTAGTTCAGACCATTTTATAAAAATGATATTGGTGCCGCTAGCGTACGGTGGCTTTCGCCTATCACGCGAAAAAGGCCGCCATGGCCTCTCTCAGGTTTCTCTCAGGTTTCTCTCTGGCTAGGGCCATTGGACTATGGGCCTGCGCACAATAGAGGAACAAGAATTAGATATTAAGATTTCAACCTATCAGAAATCGTGTATTCCGATGTAATCAGTTTCTGATAGGTTGAAATCTTAATATCTAATTCCTGTTCCTCTATTGTGCGCAGACCCTATGACTGCGTTCGGGGAGCGCGCTATCAACGCTATTGTGCAAACTATCCTTGTTTCACATTTAATGGACGATGAAGATAGAATAACGCAAATATCGCTAATAACGTCCCCTCGAACCCAGCCTATGGGTGCTTTCCAATTGCTTAAAGCTGGAAATACAATAGACACAGGCAACAGGGAATAACGAGCCGTACAATCAGAGCTTTGGGGTATAAGTTCGATATTATATCCCAGAGCTCTGATTGGACGGCTCGTTATTCCCTGTTGCCTGTGCCTATTGCCTGTGTCTATTGTGTAATGTGTTTCCAGCTTAACAACACTGGAGCACACCACACCATTTCGATTCCTTCCATCACGGTCTCTAGCGTTGACTAGCGTTGACGAAACCGGTCGTAGAGTACTATTACCACGTGTAAGACTTATTAGGAGTCTATATTTTCACCAAGAAGACTAGAAACCTAGTCTTCTTGATTTTCACAATAAGATTTTACAAACTGACTTCATCGCAATTTTGAAACATGTCAGATCTATTTGACAACGGTTCCTATTCTGACAAGGACAATAAAGGAATCGATCCCGAATTAGCAGAGCTTCTAATGGTTGAGAAGCAAAAAGCACAATTTAATGCACAGGTGAAACATTTTAACGGATAAACTTTTATTAATATAAATCTGAACTGCTTTTCCAAATTGTTTCAACATTATTTTACACTTGGGATGTGTTCTGTTTTCTGCTTTGCAAGCATCATTTGTTCTTGTTTAATATTTGATAGACAATAAGAATGATGTTTACAGCATGTAGGCGGAAAAACGGAACGCACTCGTTATTCTTGAAAAATGCTTGCCAATTTATCTGGAAAACATTTTTGTTTATTTGTAAAAGTTTCATGAAAGTTTTTTAATTTGTTTAGATTCATGAGTTCAACGATTTTTGTTGGGATAAATGCGTTGATAAGCCAGGAAGTAAATTGGATGGCCGTACAGAAACATGCATAAACAATTGCGTTGATAGATTTATAGATTATATAAAGTGAATTATATATCGATAATAACAGATTTATCATAGATATTAAATCTCAATCACATTCTTAATATTTATGAATGTACAATAAAATTATATAATAAGAAAATATTTTTCAATACCAACATGCCCAATAAATATCCACTCATTCACAAGTTCATTATAAGCATCCTAGTTAAATTTATTTTTATTTAGAAATAAAAGTATATGTTGATCCTTCTCTGTGGCATATATTGCACAAGATAAAAATGTTATGAACATTGCAGTGATGCAATACATTGTAAAAATTATTATATGTATATATATATGTGCGTTTATAATATGTGAATATATAACAGAATTTTATTTTGATTATATTTAGAAAATTAAATTCTGTACAATGCAGTGTATTTAATATCAGAAGGCTATAGGTCTTTGTGGAAGGCACATATTGTAAAATGCATCCTTTTTCCAAAAATCTTTCGTTTTCCAGCCACACCAACCCTTATTTATTATGGTAGGCAAGTGTTCTCCACCTGTGTAGTGTGGATCTAAAATCAAGAACTTTCCCTCTCCAGAATGTTCATCGTAACTAACTCCTAGAATTGTATGAGCTAATACTCCTCCACCTATAAAACAAAAAAAAAAACATACAGAAAGTTAATATTTAATATCTCAATATTTTAGATGTTTAATTTTAATTGTTTGTAGAAATAAAGAAATATAATTAGAATTTACCAATCATAACAGGTGTACCCTGTGTATCAAAATGATTTGCAAGTTGTGGAATTAAGGCTAACATCTCTTCTCCACTTGATGCACGAAGTATCTTGACATCTATATTAAGGAGAGTCTGCAGTACAAAACTTACTTCAGTTGAACCAATCCATTGTTTACTACCAAGAAAGTCGAAAGATTTATCGCCTATATCAATTAAACATTGTTGTATTTTGCGATGAGATGGTATTGGTACTTCACTATAACCCTGTAATCTATAGCAGATTGCAATTTATTCATATGTATATATATTACAGTATACAATATTTCCACATTGCATGCACAATCTCTGATTATCTGTGATCTTTTATTACCTGTACCATGAAATGACAGTTTGGAGAGATCTATAAGCACATCCCCATCTATTATCATCAAAATTATCTTGCATATAGTGATGATACGAATACAAACCATCCACAATACTGAGTTTTCCTGTAATACCTAATTAATACAATAAAATATTACAATAATTGATAAACATTGATAAATTTGAGAGTATATAAATGAACTTTTACTTAAAATACCTTTATTTAAAAGAGCCTGATGAGGATTTATAAGTACCTCATTTGCCTGTGTGTCAAATTTGACAGCATTTCCTTGTCGAAAATGGGGTCTAGTCAAATCTAATGCTAAAGCCTTGTGTAAAGTCTTACGATATTCCACTGAAATTATATGACTGGTCTGTATAAAAGCAAATAGATGACACAATATTACTATGATAACAAATTCGGTAATGTTAATTATGTAATGACGATACAGGATATATGAATGATACAAATTCCAATAGTAATAGAATTTAGAGTACGATTGACAAATAAATCAAGTAATAAACAATAAGTAATCAAGATACAAGATCTTACTTGTGGTATCATTAGTAGAATTGCCAGGATATGCTACTGTAAATAAATGTCCACAACTCTGAGGTTTAAAATGCATGATTTCAGATAGTTGTGTATCTTCAGACTGATTTTCTTGTTGCATTTCAATTAATCTAATATTTCGGCAGGTCGATTCCACTAAAATCGCGTGCAATTCAGCTGATTTCACATTCAAATTCACCAATGATAATGCATCGATGTGTAAATTGCATTCTAAACTGTTGAAGGATTCTATAACAAATATATGATAAATTAGAAATATTATATGTATTGATATAAATTAAATAAATCAAATACTTTTCTGTAGCACTCACTTTTGATGTGTTGCAAAACAGGAGCATATCTAACAGATTCTTCAGAATTTCTCTCGCTTGACATCTTTAATAACATGTTTGCATGTATAACTTTCTGAAAATTAACAAAATAAGTAAAAATACTCTGATATAATTTATGTTTAAAGTAGTATATATGAATTTTAGCTAAAGGCACATACCACAGGTCCAGTATTATAATTTATATTACTTGATCCAGTTGAAAGTTTCTCTTGGTCTTTGGACACAGATAAAATATCTTTTAACATTATATCTTTTAAATTGTCATCCATTCTGAAGAGGTATGCATCATTCAAAGGAAAATGTATTCCTATTTTTCCAGATGCAATCTACAGTGCAAAATTATATGACACATACACAACATATACAAGACAAAAAATATGATATAAAAATGTTAATAAAAAAAGGAAAATCTTACATTTTTTCGTGATTCCTGCAAAGCTTCTGATACATTCCCATCCTGAGCAATCAATGGTAGAGTCGCTTGTAATCTAATATATACAAATTGTCGAGAAAGATCATCTTCGCTAATAATACTAAGATTATTTATAGCTTCTAGTTTTTGATGGACATAAAAATATGCTTGTATATCCAATGTATTTCGTGAATATTTTAAAAGCAGTGGATTATCTGTAATATCAATGTCCTAAACAAACAAATGTAATACAAATGTAAAAGAATCAATGGAATAAGATAGATAAACAAGAAATCTAATTTGTAATTACCTTGAAAACATCAGTATTTATTTCTTCACATTCACCAATATGTAATATGCCACAGAAATATATATCTGCAGGTAAATTCAACTGCAGTGCTGTATAATCTGTTAGGTTGTTATCTTCACTATTACATGAACTTATACTGAATGTTAGAACTATGAGAGTATCATTGTACATAATACCATAAAGATAGCCAGTTGTTGCTGTTTCTAGGTTTTCTAATCGCTAAAAGTATTATTTTATTTAAATATTAAACACATACATTGGTATTACTAATATATTTTATTTGTTAAATATATAGAAACATAGCACTGTCTTAAATAATAAATTTAGAATAAAAAGAGGACATATCCGTAAAATACTATTCTTTGCAAGAAATATATTACAAGTGGTCATAAAAACTATGATCAAAGAAAAAAATATGAATTATGTTTTCGTATCATTAATACAAATGTGCTTGACTACATTTACCTGCAGAATGTTGGATAAAATCTGCAATTGCGGTGCCATCGTGTCGTGTTGAAATCAAAAAATCTTATACGATCAAAAATGCTTCGTGCTGCCAGCAAGAACAATCACCATATGGTGATAACAGGAAATCACAATTGAATTAAATTTTTAAATACGAGCCACCTAGATTGGGAGGTTAAATTCGTCTTTGTTGCTAAATTCTCGAAATAAACGCATAGCAAAGTGCTCGATTCGACTAAATCAAATGTTAGTACTTAATCACTTGTCGAGGATAAGGACATACGAGAACACTCTCCTTTACATTCGAATCTACATTTTCATTAATCCACCTGTGAAAATTCTGTTCGTGCCAACGACGCATTCGAGTACCTAATCTGACCTAATTCGAAATAATTTTATGTACGATTCAGTGGAAAGTCGTTTCGTGCAGATACATTTTTAAGAATGATAGGAAAGAAACATCTTCCTTTTTTAACGACAAAAATATGATGGGGATCACATAAAAGCAATTTGCGTATCAATAAAAAATGCAAAAACACTTGTTGTGTAAAGGACTGCTTCACGTTTGAAAATGGCTGCTTGAACAACTTCCGGATCGAACGCCTCACTGACGTCGTTGTATTTATGATATTTTATTTATGATATTTATAGCTGTAGCTAAAAAAAGAACTGATAATTTAACTTAAGAACTTTCAGTTTGATAGCTTTGAACGTTCACAGAAATTTAAGGAATGTGATGCAAATATTTCTGTTAAAAAAATTATTCTGTTAAATGTACTTATATTTTTTTAAAGTTATCAAAGTTATCAGAAATGATAATAATAATAAAAGTTTGAATTATTTTTGAAATTTCTAACATCCTTGAGTCTTGAGAAAAACGTAGTTGAAAAATATCATAATATAATTCAATAATAATATATGTAAGCTAAAACGCATGTCTTTCGAGGTTTTCAAAAAACTAGTAATTTTATCAACTGATATAATCCGATAAAAAAATTATTCGAAATTTCATTAACTTAAGGTCTGTTTTTTGTGGCTGAACTAGTGTACACTTTTGGAACTTAAAGTGAGATAGATATACGTTTAATATTTGTTTTAAGCGAGAAAGAGTTCTAGAACAGGGTACCTATTATGGAAATAATCGGAATGGATTCCGTTCGGAATTATTTCGTTTTCCCCAGAAAATACAATAGAAATCTAGGAAATAATTGAATAATTTCGATCGGAATCTATTCCGATTATTTCCATAATAGGTACCCAGTTCTAATTGTACACACCACTTATATCAACTGGTGCCTAGTAATTTTTCACTGTTTTGCCAATGAGATTATTTTATTTTTAAATTGGTCAATCAGCGATACATGTGTGCAATATGCGACGTGTGCAATCGGAGCTTTCCCTATCAAGTGTACGATGTAAACTAGGCAATTGTTCTAATCACGTAAACACAATGACTACATTTACACGGCACCCTTAATCGAGTTTAATAACATCCGTAGTTATGAAATTGGCCAATCATAGCTTTTCACCGGGAGAATGGAATGATTGTGATTGGTCAGTTTCATAACTACGGATGTTATTAAACTCGAATAAGGGTGCCGTGTAAATGTAGTCAGAGGCTGCGTTCAGCAGACTCAGCAGTTTTGCAACCGTTTTATGATTCGTCGCGCTGATTGGATTATATTTTCAGATTTAAAGGAATAGTCCTATCTGAGCGAAGAATTACAAAACGGTTGCAAAACTGTTGAGTCTTGAGCG